GTCCCATTTTTTACCTCACCCTAATATATTTCTGCTCGAATGCATTTGTCCATTTCGAGTGGATTCCGTAAGTAGATTATAAGCTAAGCGAGCAAACTATAACACCGCGGCGCCTGCTTGATTGATATACGATTGTAAACCGCCATCACCAGGGTCAAGCAAGAGGTGTGGCGCACAACCGCCGGTGACGCCCCTTCCCCTACGGTATATTTAGGGTGGTACTAGGTTGTATTTAGGGTATACTAGGTTGTTTCAAAAGTTCTGTTCGATTTGCGACTTTTTCATACAAAATCTTGTAACTTTTTTCATAACTTTTTTCAAGATCAACAACTTTGAACAAATTAGATTTTGTTGAATTAAGCGAGTTTATAACTATCACAAGCGTTGTATCAGGTTGTCCCATAAGTTCCGTCCGCTTTGAATTTCAGTCACAATAAATCATCAACTTCTTGTTCCTAGGTATGTTTCAGAGTACCTTCCGATAGAGCAAATCAAGCTCTACAAAATGGCTATCTTGCTGTTGCACTAGCTGCAATACATCTCGAGTCTTAAACCGAAAACTAAAAAGTTTCAACTGCCCGAAAAATCGAGAAAAAATCGTAACTCCGTCTAAAAACATCCTGCGAAAATTCCAACTTGCTCATTTAAACACTAACCATTTAAGATATTTATATACGCCGTTGCCGTATTTTTTCCTTGGCTCGAAATCAAGAAGACGGAAATTTTCATGTTTTTGCCAAAGTGATGTTGTGCTGTCCCTACATAGATAGTTGTATACTACTAGCCTGTAGAAGTACAAATGTAAATTTTCAGCTCTCTACAAGCAGTGGTTTCCGAGAAATATGGATTTTAGCGTAAGACACCCAAGTAAGGCAAGCTATATTCGATATTTCTCGGAAACCACTGCTTGTAGAGAGCTGAAAATTTACATTTATACTTCTACAGGCTAGTAGTATACAACTATCTATGTAGGGACAGCACAACATCACTTTGGCAAAAACATAAAAATTTTCGTCTTCTTGATTTCTAGCCAAGGAAAAAATACGGCAACGGCGTATATAAATGTCTTAGATGGTTAGTGTTTACATGAGCAAGTTGGAATTTTTGCAGGATGTTTTTAAACGGAGTTACGATTTTTTCTCGATTTTTCGGGCAGTTGAATCTTTTTAGTTTTCGGTTTAAGACTCGAGATGTATTGCAGCTAGTGCAACAGCAAGATAGCCATCTTGTAGAGCTTGATTTGCTCTATCGAAAGGTTACTTGAAACATACCTAGGAATAAGAAGTTGATGATTTATTGCGACTGAAATTCAAAATGGACGGAACTTATGGGACAACCTGATATGTTTTAAATCCTGCAAGGTTTTCTTCAAAAGCGTCCAGTTTGACTTACTACTGCTTCTATATGAGGATGGGCACACATATCTGGCTATATCGTGAAGTAGCCTAAACTTTAAAGGTTCTTTTGCGGCTAGAGAGAATTCGAGTTATTTTTGCTGCATAGAATTTTTTTGCGAGCAAATCAAAAAACCCATTATTTGATCCCTCATCGGCGTGCGAAAATATGCTGACTTTCTAATATTTGATTTTTTCTTGCTGTCGCAAACGAAGGAAGCTAATTGGCCGATGATTCGTGCTTGCTCTCGCTTTACTCTAACATATGCAATCTTGAATGCATCACCTGTCACTATATGTAGATTGTTGTCGCTTGTTAAATAACTGAGTTTGTCTTCCATCTTCGAAAAAAATTGAAAACGTAAGACATTCTTTACGTCGGGGGAAAAGTGTGCTTATGTTAGCCCACTACACTCTCACCCATTATAAAATATTACACATTTAGTTCTACAAATACTGTGGAAGTTCTCTTCATGGAAACTTTTTCTTGGGCATGACTGCATTATGACAACTTTGCTTCGGGGTTTGAAATTTCATCACTTGAAAGCTGATTCGCCAAGCTTTAGTAAGCACTAAAAAGAGCAGGAAAAGTACTTCTGGATGTGCAAAACCCTAAGAAAATCGCTGCGTTAAAACAAGGCAATTAGAAATCGGACAGAATTTTTGAAACAGCCTAGTATATTCATAATCATCATGTTAAATAACCCTCGTAGTGAATTCTGCGGGTTACCGATATTGAGCCACCTAAGCAGGGCACGAGCTGGCACCAGGGAAATTTCAAAACAAGTCCCGTTTGATATTGAAAATTTCGTACGGAGTCCCCTTTGACCTGTTTTGAAGACCCGTCATTATTTCTAGATTATGTAAGAGTATGTAGTAGGGTTTTTATGCATGCTGATTCCATGCAACAACTTTTCACAGCTTTCTGAGCTTTTTAAGTGGTTGAATCCACATCTTGAGAAGCAGAAAAAGCCGATTTTTCGACTGCGAAGCAAAACGAGTAGTTTTCAGATTCTATAAAACGCTGAAAGAAAAACACAAATTGTTTCTTCTCTGTATGTAAACTTTTGCAGTGTAAATACATTTTATTTAAAGAAAGTATGAAAACTTATGTGAGCAAAGGGTCGGTGCCAGCTCAGCTGGCAGCCGCTGGCACCGACAGCTAATTCAGAAAAAAAGTTCAGCACAGCTTTCATAAGTTTTCATAAATTTTTAGGCCATAGTTTGTGTCCACCAACGCGCATGCACACACCAAATTTGGTGTCATACTATCGCGGTTTGGCTGAAAACAACGCCTTTGTTTGTTTGATGGACAGCATGCCGGTGGCATGCTGGCGGCATCCTTGCGGCAGTTCTACGCCCCGGACCCCAGAAAAACGATATCCCCTTTGCTTTCCGCCCTACGATATCCAGCTTGACCCGGTGCCAACTGTCCGAGCCCTGCATCTAAGTGAACTGGCTATTTTCAAACATGGTTAAGTATACTTCAAAAGTGGATTAGTTATCCTTTTTATACTCATTACAAAGCAGTGCTCCATGTTCCCCTATAATGAATCCTGCTTTGGATGGATCAAATGTGTATCCATATCCTTTCTCGTTTTGATGTAGTGTTTTTGAAAACATATGACATTCTGTTCTAATTTAAATAAACGCACTTCAGACAAATTAGCGCGATTTTTCCATAAGTGCGTATAGCATGGTGTGGTGTATGAGCATCTACGAAATCGTTGTGGGTATGTCCCTTAATCAAGCGATGAGCGATTTTTACGCGATAAACGGTCGCCCAAGCAGTCTAATCGCAGCTATCAAAAATCGCAACGACAGGATCGCTGGAGGTATGCCTTAGGCCTATGGCGATCGTGCAGACACACATCACAAAAGGTAACGTTTTAGAATATTTGTGCTGGTTTGCCCAAACTTCGTTCATATAACCACATTCACACAGAATGATGATGCTTACCTTCGTGCATCAAGCGACAATAACGAAGAATATAAACTGCTTATATTTCATCTTCTTCTGCCTCTTATTTGTGCATGATTTTAGACAGTGTTTCCGCCATTAGTGGACACAACATTTAAAGGCGGTGTCTCACCAAAATTAGGTCAGTGCTGATCTCCACATATTCGTCTGACTCGATCTGGGCCCTTTAGGCCAAAAATTTGTTCTCAAATTGGCCCGCGAAGCGCGATCTGGCCCGCACGGCCGATCATCCCGGTTTCCCCCTTACGTGTTTTGACATGTTCCTCCACTTGGCGCACTTCCATGGTGTCGTGGCCACTGTGGTAGAAGCTGTTCTGAGAAGGCACAGCTCGTCCGCTTTGCTTCAACCGGCTTTTGAAAAACGGGGTTTTCGTACGTTCCTGCGATTTTGGACCAGCAATGTATGAGACAGAAAAGACTTGAAATATGCAAAAATTCTGACAACCATAAGATGGATATGTTCGCTTTCATTACGACTCTGTTTATGAATTTCTGTGAGAGAATCAGGACATCGCTACATTCTAGGGTGTCGCGACGATATTGCTACTTGTGATGTACTCCTCTCCCCTTTGATCTGACTGCCAGAGGTCGCATTGAGAATCTACTGAACGCAGCCACTACAGATTATTGGTAGCGTCCATCCAGATTCTCTCCATTTTTTGGTCGTTCCGGGTCCTTCTCATATGTCCGCGAAACCCCGACAGTCCCGTTTCAGAGAAATGATAACTGGCTGGGCGCGCACGGATGGGCGGGCATTACTGGAGGGGGCGGTACCGACTTGGATCTTCATGCGTCTTCGCTCAGCGATTTTCTCGCTTCCTAAGCGACATTTTGCGCCGCGACTTCGGCATCCTGATAGGGGGTCCCACTGTTGTAAGCCAGCTTAATTTGGGGTGGACGATGCCTTTAACGCGCGACGGACTTGAAACACACGCCTCGGTCCTACCTTGCTCGATTGCGAGAGATCGGTATCGTTGGCGACGGCAGATGTCACCAATCCGCCGCGCACATATCTCGCATGTATAGGCGCACAGCTCTGATAAAGTGATGCAAGCGATCTTGCTTACCGAGATTGCGCTTACGAAGAATTATGAGCCATCGTAGCAGTGCCGAACCACGCGGCGACCGAAATCGCGCGAGATATGACTGATGCTTAGAAAATCTCGTAGCGACTGCAAGCGAACTATGAGGAGACACTGTGACAGTTGCAAAGAAGCGCAAGTAATCATCTTGGAAGCGTTCGGACATTTCTTTAAATTTTTTGTAAGTAATAAACCTGCGCTTTCGCTTGAAATGGCGTAACGAAAGCCGCCTCCAAAAAGTTGCTTCTAACAAAAATAATTTGATTTTGTACGTCTATGCAATTTACATCAAGTCTACGATGGAAGGAACCTGCGTTTTGTACTTTCTCAGCTAAAGTGCTACTTATTGACATTTTGCGATGTTTACACACAGTTTCGGATTTAGCATTTTTGAAAAGTCTATAATAACAGAAAGTACACATAATTGTATAGTACACGGATAGTGTTGTATAATCCACTGAAAATTACATTGATAGACTTTTTCCAACTACAGTGAAACATTTCTTTTCAGTATTTGGCAAAGTTTTACTGAAACTCTTTATTGCAATCTGTACAAAAGATAGTGAATGGTATGTTCGTATACGCACTTCTTTAGACTGAAATAAATAATTAATGATTGCTGTCCTATAAAATGTGAGACGTACTCATTCGGTACCATAACGTCGTTGTGACTGGCCAGATCCTACTGTAGGTGATGATAGGGACAACGTTTCTGTCAGATTCGAACAACTCTCCCATATAAGAGGGATGGCAGAACCTAAATCTATTTCTTTAGTGGTTCCAGGACCGAATTATCAGAAGAAAGGTGCTTAACGGCAGCCACGCCTTCGAATGAAGTTTTCTACAGGGCCAACCAGAATTTTACAAAAATTAAATCATTAAAATCACTTACAAATATGAATAAGTCACTCGCATATCATTCTAACTAGCGTAAGTAACTATTCGAAAAATTTACGACCCATTATTGAAAAGGAGAGGGCACCCATCCTCAGCGCCGCTTGTCCCTAAGAATAGCACCAGAACTGACAACTTGCCTGTAGCCCGTTGCACGTTGGTCCTTCTGTGTTTTGATTTCAACACCAGCAAAATAGCATCCATCAGTATTGACTTTATCCGTGAAACTATGGAACTTTATTTCAACCTTTCGACCTAATGGAGCCTACAAATACGCAAATTAACTATGCTTTGTAGCGTCACAGGTGTCACCTCTATCCAGTAATGGCACATGAGGAAGAAGTCATTATCAGTAGATTTTTGTATCCAGTTCTGTCCAATAGTATCTTCAAATTTTTTGTACTCCGTGCCAGCTTGCAACACTTCTCCGCAGCCTGCTGGCTGTAATCTTTTTTATAACACACACGTAAAATATTTAGTATTTTTACCCTTTCATTGCACAATCTTCCTCCGTATCCTCCTGGGCAAACGCATTTCGAGCAATCTTTCGGATTTGGGAAGCCTCCCATTGCGCATTTGGCCGCCGAAGGATTGGATTTACATTTATCTAGAATAAATACTGCACAGTAGAAGACGTCCCGGTTTTTCACTGTTATTGAATACCTAGGCAATTGTAATGAGTATTCATCATGAGTTTGTCGTAGAAAGAAACAAAGTGTGAGCCCATAGTGTCGATATACCTTCTGTCAGGTATAGGTACCATTGTGTGAAGGCGAGTCTTGTCTGCCGAGAAACTGAAAAATTGTACTACTCGTCTCGTTTTCTTGAAGAAGAAACAAACCTTTTTGAACCGTAATGCATCACGCTACCGTATTCATAAGGAAACCCATAGTTGTCATTGGTCGCCGTAGTTTCTTTGTTGAACTGGTCTTCCATACCAGGCTGGAGATAAATCACAAGGTTTAAGTGACATCAGGGACTACGATTGTTTACCCTGATATTATTCCTTTCGATTAGCAGGTGCTCGTCACGATCATGTCTTGCTTGATGATGGAACATGCCAAGAGCGTGACCAATTTCATGTGCAGCAGAGCCAATCTGTTATACGTACATTTTACATTTAGATGTCAACATGTTTGTTTTAAGCTCAAACGACAGTGCAAATTCTCGACGAAGTAACCATGTTATCTTCTAAAAGCATACAAATAATTGCAGTCACTGCAGTAGTCACTCGGTACAATCGCACAACTCAAAACTTGAGCGGCCGAAAGCACATTTTTTTGAAAGCCTTCTTTTTCACTGTTGGCTTTCCATAGTTGCATGTTAGGCCCTCAATAACTCGTCAGTGTTGACGAGTCTTTTTTAAGTTTGCACGTTGAATAAAACCCATGAAAGATGCGACTGAAATAATTTTTTATGAAAAGCAGTAACCCCTCATATGTTACCATAATCTAATCTAAGTGTAGAGTCACAGCTGTAGCGACCTGGGTCTTCGCGGCCGCCTCACTCGGACCCTGTGTCTGGTTTGCGCACGTAGCCTTTGAGCACGTAGCCTCTGGACGTTTCTGCATGCCTCCAAAACCCTCTTGCTGCTGGAGTGTAGGAAAATCTCCATAGATACGTACGCAGACCAACTGCAAGGACCGAGACGGCAGCGAAGACCCGAGCCGCTAGTATCGTAAGCCGTGGTCATATCTCTTGAGATTGCGAAATCTATTCTTGGCGACGACATGTGTTACCAGTTCACATCGAAGACCTCGAATGCTTAAGCGCACATTCTCAGGGTTCCTTCATACTACGCCGCAGGACGCGGCAACTTACCACGTGCGCTGCGTACGCCGCAGCCTACCGCGTAGTGCGGCATGCGCCGCAGCACGCAGCGTACGCCGCTGCAGTCGCAGTGAGAATAGTTCATGGCAGCACACGCTGTTTATCAACGATTTCTATATCTGCTGCTCCTTCGTGTTCTCCGAGAGTATCCCCTTAGACTCTGCTATCTTTTTTCTCCTCTAACTTCTCTCATCATTAATCGAATGTTTCTTCATTCATCATCTTGAATTCGTGTGCTCCCTCGACTTTTGATTTTGCACAGTTTGCATCATGGCTAACTGCATCATGCTTAATCTGATCCTAGTATTTTGTTGTTGCTGAAAGTTCCTTATAATACATCGCTCGATGAAAGGGTTTCGATGAAAAGACAAAAATCTAATATCTTATAAGTAAAAATAAACAAAGCAGCGCACTAAAGTCTGATGACAACAAACTGAAGCGAGATAAGTTTCGTGGAACTGAGGACGCACACAAAATCAAAATCTGAATGAAAAATCATTTGATCGACGATGAGGAAAGGTAAAAGAAAAGAAAAAGATTGCGAACTCTAAGAAAATACTCTCGAAGAACACGAACGTGCAGCAGATTCAGAGGTACATCGATAAGCAGCGAAATTGTACTGCCATAGGCGTGTTTTCACTGCGACTGCAGCGGCGTACGCTGCCTGCTGCGGCGCACGCCGCCGCGTAGTATGAATGAACCCTCAAAAGTCGACGCAGGCTGTCGAATCTCACTTACCGAGAGTACGCCGAAGAAATATAAGCTACTATACTTTCATGGCAATTGCGAGGTGTGAAGAATACTCAACGCGCACTTTGAGATAGCACATACAGTCGGTAGATTTTCCGCTCAATATAGTGTGCTTGCACAGTTTATGAAATGCGGTAAAATTTGCGCGTGAGGAAATAGCTTCGATTGTGACGCCGGCCAATTGCGCGCAAAATGCCGGCAGTGCTGGCGCAGCTACCTGTTCACGCGCAAATTTTACCGCATTTCATAAACTGTGCAAGCACATTATATTAAGCGGAAAATCTACTCGACTGTAAATGTAAAGTTTAGTATCGGTGGCGATCCCAGAGTTTCCGTCTGGGGACGCGCCAGATCGTGCAGTGACCGAAGCGGCGTCAGGTATGACTGATGCCTAATGTGCGACTGGTGCAGCCTAGTTATAGGCTGCTGCATGACGAAGTCGCTATATCTTCGGCATGGCTGCGGCCTTCTTAGTCGCAGGGCGCATGAAGCGCAGCATTTACAACGGTGAAAATGCGCGCGCGACGCGTTCCACCTGCTCAGCTAATAGTGCTTCTGCGCCTTGTCATGCAGTAGCCTTTAATTTGACGGTCTATAGAATGACAGCACTTGCGCGTTGGCAAAGAGACCCAAATTGTGAGCTTTCACAAGCTTGGCATGTTTTGCAGTGAACTCTCTTGGGCACTCGCCATATATGACCCACTTAATCTACTTGATCCAATCCGCCATTGGTCAGTTCATGATTTGACCATTAGTGAAACGATGTGGATCAAGTGGATCAAGCAAATCAAGTATGGTGCGTGATTTCGCAATTTGCATGTGCACTTTTGTTGAGATAAAATTGCTCATAGCTTTGTCTGCGAAGGCGTTCAAAAGATACGAAAGGTATATATAAATCCAGAATTCTATGCTGAACAGTGGTATTTCGCTTGTTTGCATTGGCCGCTTTGACTTCTAACCTTCCCTTGTGAGGCTTTATCAATTATTTGGCACACTTTGAGCTAGAGGGTTACTATGCGGAAATTGATATGTGGGGTAGGGACATGCTGTGGATACAAAAATAACATTTTTTCAAAAAAAAAACGACTGCATTGAACAATATGACTGATTTTTTGCGAACCTTGAGCTGGGAAGTTGGGAATTGATACATCGATATGGAGGAGCATACGCTGTACACGAAAATAACACCTTGTGAAATCAGTTGATCTGTCGACTGTACCACCTTTACTCTAACCTGGGGATATGTACGGGAAAGGTTATGGTGCTGATCAGGAAAACTCAGTGTTTTTTGAATACACACTTCCAATACATCACGCTATAATATATCTGGTCCGTACCCTATGGAAATAAAAAAAATTAAGCGCTTAAAAATTCTATGGAGTTATTACAGATAGCAGGCTTGTTAAAGTTTGTAAAGTTCTTGAAGTTTTCATCTCTTAACTAGTGGAAAGGTTGAGCTCACCGTTTCGCATCCGGAACCTAAGGAAATTGGTTGTACTCTGTGTATGTTCCCTACGTATGACCAGCAACCGTTTTCGACGATTAACTCAATACGTTCCTTTGCTAAAGCAAAGATAGTAGACAATATCTGCTGCACAGACTATGTAAGCGTACCATGGATATACTCATAGAAGTTAAGGCATGTTATTCTTTGCCATTCTAGTGCGCCATGTCTGAAGATGTCCTGGAGTTTCTTAGCTGAACATACTTGACTTCGCCTTTTTTCCAAAGCATTGTAGCACTTACATGTATTGGAACCGAAGGAAAAATGTACATAGCCATTGGGCCAGAGAGTCCTTGGGTAATTTTTGTCTTTGAAAGCTTGTCTTTTCTTCCTATTACGTTTTCTACTATTCACAATTTCATCCACTTGCCACCTGCAATTGTTGTGCACTTAGGAATACTTACTTGAATAAACAATTCTACTCTGTTAATACGATGTCACTCTGGTACAGAAGTCCTCCAATTCCTGCATTTTCATTAACAGTCACAATGTCGTCACCCATTGGGTTAAATTGTACACTCTCTACAGGTGATAGCTCCTGAAGAACATGATCCTTTGCTGAAAGTAAGCCACATTATGAAAAGAAGGTTCTTGCCGCACCTTTTCTATATTATCTAGCACTGTCTGTCGCAGTGGACTGAGCTTGAGACTCGCCGCATCCTCCATCTCTTGTTCATGAAGCCTTTCATGCATGTACAGAAGTTCAGTCTTGTTCAGCACCTGAATCATTACATAAAATCAACATAATGAGTTCATTTTGATTCGTTACCTTACTTTTGTGTTTAAGCGCATGATAGCCTCTTTTGTTGTGTCCAAGTTGCCAAAATCACCAAAGCTGACGAGTACAGAGAATAGAATCGAGAGAAGCAAAGCCTTCATCATATAGAAAGAAATAGGATTTGTTCTGACTAATGAGGCAGAGGAGCCGGACTCGATGTTTTGCTTTCACCATATCTATAAATTGCTTACACGCGCACTTTGACTCCGATCTACAGCGGCTATGCAAACAGCAGAGTAAAATAACATGATCATACTATTTTCAGACAAAGCTAAATCATTCCTCCTCAATATAACTGACTGTTGGAGTCGCCCGATTTCAGGTAGTGAAGCATTCAGTACAGCTTTAGTTCAGAAAATGTGCTTCCACATTTTGTATGGTATTTGCCAAAAACGGACATCGATTGTAAGATGAACTCAATAAATGACTCCGCCGTAGTATTCTACAGTATCGAAGTAGAAAATCTTAAACATATGCGGCAAGACATCATATGACAAATGAAGCTGGATGTCTGTTTGAGGGATGTGTTGTGTGTTTGTGTTGTCTGTTTCACGTACGTTCCAAATACTAATTTTTTTAACCAAATAGGACCAGACTTTGCGGCGGGGGTGGCCCTTTCACAAGCTTGTTATCGTTTTTGGCCCGAAAAAGCAAAGGGGAAGTCGTATTTTGGGGTCCGCGGCGGAGCCTCGGACCCCAAAATACGACTTCCCCTTTGTTTACCGATAAACAATGCACATATCATTCTTTATCCATCATTCCTTGTTGATGCTACTGTCCTATGAACTTAGATTCCAGCAATGTGAAGATTCTGTGCTCCGATCGCTAGCCTGCCCGCAGGCGGGAATTCAAATCGCAATTCTTAGAAGAGGAAAATAACAAAATAGGCTCGTTTTCAATGCACAAGTAACGATATGGCACCAAATTTGCTGCATAGTTGGAGGACCATGAGCACAAAAAAAGTATGAATAATTATGAGAAACTTATGTGAATTTAAAAATTGGTAAGTGTTTTTCGAAATTAAGTGGCGTCCGCGCCACCTGGGAGCAACTTGGGGTGGCTCCCTGCTTCCCTTCACATAATTTCCCGGATTTCTTTACATAAATGTGGACTAGGTCGAGAGTATTACTATATGTTCAAATCCGCTTCCAAAACCACCAAGGCGCCGCTTCGATACAGCCCCAAATAGGGTTCACAGCGTTATGATCGGCCTCGGAAAGCGCGCTTCAATCGCAATCGGTTATTGTAAATTGTAACGTTTCGCAGCTGCCTAAAAAATGAGTAGTATCTTAGATATATAAACGTCAAAGTTTGTGCAAATCTTGACCCTATGTTTTTATAGATTCCTTTGCGGATGAACCCATTGAGCTGAAACCTTGAAAACATATGTTTTCGGCCTCGGTAGATGGTTTTAAGCTACCCTTCGAAGCAATTTGTGGAACTCTTCTATCGATTTAATGATTTTTGGCACCTTGCAAGGAAAGTGAACACTTACCAGCCGCTAACAAACTGCTTGCACATTTTGGTTTAACAATGCAGTGGAGTTCATTTCCACTTTAAAATTAGAAGGTGCAGTCACTCCAATAAGCCTTTCTGGAGTAAGCTCGTGCAGGAGGGTAAGGGGGAGGGCTGCAGTGCAGTATTGATACTACAGAAAAGGGGTGGAGAATATGGCCCAAAAGGACGGGAAGGTAGAAGGACAAAGTGTGGATTTTGGCCATCCCCTCAAACGGTGACCCGGGCTGGACCAGAAAAGCCAGGTAGTACTACTATAATAAGCGCTGAGGCCGCCCATCTTATTATTTGTGTATATCTGTTTGTCAGGGACTTACGGGGGTTAAAAATATGGTCAAAGGGGAAGTCGTAAGAAATTTTGGCTTCAAAGGGGATATCGTTTTCAAAATTCTGAAATGCCACCTCCTGCGGGGCCCTGCAACGTTTTCGTTACGACTTAGCTCTGAGTAAATGACTGGCTGATCGTTTCTCTATCAAGAGATTTCCAGTAATAGTGTATATTTACTCATTTGAAGGGGTCAAGATGAGTCTATAGCAAAGCACTTCAGCCGGCGGCACTTGCCATCGCGACGCAACCTCCGCATTCAGTAAATTTTCTTTTCGCTTTGAGGACCTTTGAGTCTACGATGAAGGCGTCGATTTGTTTAAGTTTGTTATCTTCCAGATGAACTGTTCGGATGATCTTATGAGGATTGATCATATATTAGGTTGTCTCATAAGTTTTTTTTGTCAATTTTGCGTTTCTAAAGCAGGAAGTCACAGACTTCCCAATTCTGTTTGAGACGCAGGGTACCGTTCGATGGAGCAAAGCAAGCTTTATAGATGACATGTGAGTGTTCGTACCAGCTTCAGCACATCACGAAGTCAGAAGCCGAAATCTGAGAACTTTTGGATGCCCAAACTGAAAATTTCTCTAGTCTTTAGAAGACTTACCGATCCCAAACTCTCGCTCACGCATATGCACTCCACACAACACATTCATGATTGACGTTGCTGTGTTTGTTTCTGTGCTAGAAATCGAGAAAACCAAAATTTTCAAGCTTTCAAAAACAGCAATGCTGCGCTGTTTTCACACAAGTAAATGTACTACAAGCCTTCAAAAGTGCAGTCACAAATTTCCAGCTTCCTATGAGCTCACAAATTCATGAATTTATAAATTTTCAGCTTCCTGGATGCTCTAGTTCTTAGAGAATGTTGAATTTAACTTTTTCTTACTAAGGTATTCTATGTTGCAATTATTATGTCTTGGGAACTAGAGCTCGTAGAAAGTTGGAAATCTGTGACCGCACTTCTGAAAGCCTGTAGTATAGGATTACTTGTGTGAAAACAGCGCTGCATTGGTTTTTTTGAAAGCTTGAAAATTTTGGTTTTCTTGGTTTCTGGCACAAAAACAAATGCAGCAACGTCACATATGAATGTGTTGTGTGGAATGTATATGCGTGTGCGAGTTTGGAATCTGGTAAGTTTCCTAAGAAAAAAGTTATAAAAGGTTTTCAATCCTTAAGTATTTAAAACTTCCCAGATTTTGGCTTCTAACTCGTGAAATGCTGAAACTGGTACGAAAACATGTACACGACTTATTATAGAGCTTGCTTTGCTTTATCGAACGGTACCTTGCTTCTCAATCAGAATTGAGAAGTATGTGAATTTTTGCTTACAAGGGAATGGTCAGAAGTCGAAGTGGCCAAACCAAACAAGCTGTATACCATTCGATGCAGTATAAAGCGCTGACTTCGAATTTGTCTTTCTTATCTGCTTCCCGCTTCTGTTAACGAAGCTACAGACCATCAAAGACCATTATTTTGCTAAGAAATTACACGTGAAATTGAAAATTTAGCCGTGCAGAGCCACGTTCGCCTTGATGCTGGGCCAAAACATGCAGCTAGCCTACTTCAAATTTTTGAAGAAAGAAACTGAACCAAAAATGCAACAGTGTGCTCAATTTCGCTGTATTCATGTGGGATTTTTTCATAATAAAACCGCTTGTAGCTTCATCCACAGAAGCGGGAAGCAGATAAGAAAGGCAGATTCGAAGTCAGCGTTTTATACTGCATCGAATGGTATACAGCTTGTTTGGTTTAGCCACTTCGACTTCTGACCATTCCCTTGTTAGGAAGTCAAAATTGAAAAACCTATGAAACGACCTAGTAATAACGCCATTGGTGTAGGTGGATGTCACCCCTGCAACCTATTTTTTTTAAAGAAGGAAATGCCATTTATATTGGCAACCTTTCGTTGTACGGGAAATGATAATGTGTTCTTTGAAGATTTACACAGCTGGCAATTGCTATGCATAACAAAATCTCAGTCGCGAGAGTTAAGATATGATGTAAATATTGGCCGCAAATGTACTGAATCACGATGACTCCGGCCTAATGCGTTTATATCCGAGTCCTGCAAGCTTGCTATCAGTGTGACGGCAACAAGGCTGTTAGATTAATATTAGATCAGGATTCGAATAGTTGGTCCATTTACTAAAATGGGCCATAATATCGCGTTGGCAAGCGCTAAAATTGCTGGTATAAAAAAGCTTACCTTTCTTATAAACCTTTGAGTTTCTAACTCTTTCAAGAGCAGGTTATCACGTTCACTAACTGGCAAACCCGGCTCCTCCCGCTCTGTCAATAATATTTTCGTAATCAGCATGCTCGCGTACCCTCCTGTGCCAACTCCCAACCTGTAGCTCATACTTTGCAAGAAATCGATAAAGTCGATGTTGATCGATAACGAATAGTAGCCTACTACACCCGCCCCGAAGTGTATATGTGCCAAGCTTGGTACGGATCGGTTCAGAGATAAAAATTTCATTCGGAACATACGTACAGACAGACGATCATACAAACAGACATTCTGCTTTATATGTAAGATTTTCATTGCAACTTGCAGAACTCATGCAAAGCATTATGAGGAATGACACCACACATAGCACTCTACCTTTCATTTGATTGGTGTTTCAATGATAGAAAAAACAGTTTCAAGCCGACAAAAAAGTAGGAATAGCGCGAAACCCTGCATTTCACCGCTCATTTGTATCACTTTTTCATTTTAGAATTTTGGTCACATCTCACGGAATTCAGACACAGAAACGCAAGAATAGGGGGAAGGTACATTGGCCAAAAACATTGAGGATTGGGTTTTCGGGGATCTGACATTCAAAACTCATAGGGGCAGGCAACATCGAGCAGAGGGGAGATGTGGGCACCGTGATACTTACACATCTCACGGAGGAGGACTTTGTTAAAAAAGTACCCTGGCAGCTTCTTAGAAAGCTGACTCAGCATTAGCACTTTAATCGGCATACTATTTTGAGCAATGAAATTTTTCGCGTTAGCCTGAAATTTTCAAGTATGTTTAGCAGACTAGTTTTCGTAAGGGCGTAACTCAATGCTTTCTACATATAGAAGACTAACGTAGGCATCGTATGATAGAACACCTTTCCTTAACAGCTAAATACAGGCAATTTTCTCTAATGTGAAGGCGAAAACAGTTGAAACTTGGAGGGGTCCATAATTGGATCTGCTATTGTAGGCCTTATAGGCAGTGTCCCGGCAGATTTTGCACCTCCTCCTTTCTGCATGTTTTAGGCCCT